TAGGCGCAATTGTTGACGCCGATGGAATGTCTTTCAATGATCTCAAACCAATATACAAAGAGTTCCTACTCAAATTAGCCGTCACCTTAACTAAAGACGAACTATACCAACGATCCAAAAGCATAATGAGGAGGCAGAAGAAAAAGAAGAAGAAGAAAAAGTCATCTAATCAGGGTAATAACAGTGTTAAAAGAAGATCTTCCTCCGGCAGTGGTAAAGGTTTAAGGAGAGTCTTCAGATTTAGGCACCACAACCAAGCAAAATCCGAGTTCGAGTACATCAAAAACAAGAAGAAGTCCAACTGTGATGATTCCTGCGAAACTGGTCAACAAAACCGAAATTCTTCCAGCGGTTATGTTAGTTGCTCAGAATGCAGTTATGATACAGAAAGTTGCACCTGTGCTTCTGCAGATCGTTGTTACTGCAGTTTAGGAAACACACAAGCCAGAAATTCTGTTTGCTGCTGTGCAGACGGAAAATACTGCAGATCCACTACAAATACTGCAAGCAGCAGTGCTGTTTGTGAGTGCGACTCCGATTCATGTGCAGATGTTGCCACAAAATGCTACTGCAGACGAGGAAAAACCAACAAAACCCAAGAAGAAACCAGAAATTCTGACAGACTAGCCTTGGATTACGAATTGTTCACCTCAAGTGGTTTAAACGCACCAGTGGATAAAAATATTAAGAAACCTCATGAAGCTTTAAGTGTTAAGAAGAGTGCAGAGATGGCTGCACTGTTTGCAGATGTGAAACTCAACCAAACAACAGATGTTACTCATTTAAATCCAGGAAAACCAAATGGGATGTTTAGTGCAAAAAATGGTTTATACACAATTCAATCAAAATTGAATGATAGGATAGATGGAAAAAGATTCCAAGATAAATATTTTATTTCTCAACCCAATGCGAGTCATATGAGGAGAAACAGGGCAGCCAGTGGTAGTTTAGAAGATTCTTTGGGTTATTTACCATGATAATATAAAATATGGACTATGTGCAATAATTTAGGTAATTCTAATCAAAAGTGCAATAAATGAAGTGCAATAAAGATGTTTGTTTCAGAAAGTGAGAAGAAAACTGATGAACATTGGCATTAAGTAGGTTTATTGAAAATGATAATTTACGTGCAATATTGTATGACTATGTGTTACATTATTATTATATATATATATATATGCTAATAGATAGATTGTGAACGATATGTGAAATTTTAAATAACTCACAAAGATGTCTTAAAAGTTTTCGATCAAAGTCTTTTGGTTCAGGAAATTCTCGAATTAAAAATGGCAAATTAATTTACACTTTTATTTAATCGTTTCGATATTTATTATGTGTCATGATTCTTTAAACCAAACACATGAAAACATGAATTAACATTAAACATAAAAACATAAATACTATTTTAGAACAAACAGTGAGGATGAAGGAATGGTTATATTTCTGTATTTACTGTTAATACCATTTGCATTTTTATTGAAGAAAAATATTTGCTCTAATTTACAGAATTATGGCACAAAGTATGGAAACGTATACATAAAAAAGGAATTATTAATTTACCATTTTTGAATAAATAGATTGGCCGATATATATATATATATATATATATATATATATATATATATATATATATATATATATATAGAAAACTTGTATGTGTCCATTACAAAATTTTAAACATGATTGTATCTTATATAAAAAGATTAATCGTTCTCAAGCCGCTTGGGTATCATACTATTTTATAGATGTACACTAACTTATTCTGTATAAAGATTTTTTATATAAAAATAAATTTGTATATTACTTTATCGTTTTATTAAATATTTTGTTCTAATTTTTTTCCCATTACAATATTTATTACAACTGTTAAATAATTTAACAGTAAAAATCTAGTAACAATGAAGAACAATAACATAAATTTAACTAGAGAAGAGTACAAGATAAAGGATAGTATTTTTTAATATGCAAAAAGCATATTAAAATTAATATAATCAGGTATCCATTACCTGAGTAACACTTATCAGAAGAACTAGTAACACATCAATATGTTTTAATTTCTAACTATAAGTTTACCGAGGTAAATATTGATTATGTAAGAATAGAATTTAGTTCGCTTGTATAGATATCTTGATTGTAAAGGTATGTTTTCAATTGAATGGACTCCGTAGCAAAAAGTTAATCCCTCAATATCAAACAAAATTATTTAACATCAAAATGATAAAATTTCAATGAAGAACTTCAAATAAAACAGTGTATAGAATAAAAATTATGAATTCCAAAATTAATTAAAAAAATACCAATAATGTAATATTTTGAAAAAAATTGCATGCGGGCGCTGAAGACCCCAGGACCGGCCCTGTATATATATATATATATATATATATATATATATATATATATATATATATATATATATTTCATAAAAATAAAACAGCAAAAACTTTGTTTAAAAATCCGTGGGCAGATATCGTGGATATATATATATATATATATATATATAAATATATATACCGTGTAATATGAAAACCGTACTATAAAAATCTCGGATTTAACACACAATTTAGACAAAATTGTAGTGTATTCTAAAGAAACCTGCTATGGCGTTGTATATGAGAACCGTACTATAAGATCACAACATTTGTACTGAGTTTTATGGAGACCAGAAAATACAAAAATTCTAATTAAACGGAAATTATATCAAATTATGATAAAAAACAAAAACAATGTCCTATGAGACGGTGTTATTGTAGGAGAGGTGTTGTAATTTCAGATCGGCAAACTATGGAGACCGCGGCGCCAGAGTACCGCCTTATAGGCGGGTAAGCAGTACTATGTATATATATATATATATATATATATATACATATACATAATGTGCAAATTATGTTTATATAATCACATGCAAATAAAACCTATCACTTACCGAAAGCAGCTCATCCATTTTCCCTCCATAATGTAATTTATGATGAGCCAGCACGTCCACTAACAAAACTCAATTTACTTAATAAACTTTTTGGATTATATTACTAAAACTGATGTCATTTTTGTATATATTCAAAGAGTATTTATTAGCATTCACAAAACTTGGCACTTGTAAATGAAGGTAGATGCCATTTAGCACACCACCATGTCCGACACTCTCCAAAACAAAGCGGCATTTGGATAGCAATATGACAACAAAGGTAAATAACACATTCTATGAATCACAATAATAATTTCTGCACTTCTGTACTTGGCGACGACCTTGCTAAATACATCTATTATGAGTAGTAAAGTACTTAACCGACGTCTCGATTATTATTATTTTTAAAAATATAAAAAGTATTTTACAAAAACTATTTCACCACTACAATTTTCAAAAACACTGTAAACTTAAATCAATCTACTTATATCAAATAACTTACATATTTCACTCGCGACTGCCCTAGTTCCTTCGACACTTCGAACACGTGACGACGGCGACCCGAGTGCAATTTGGCGCTTGGGTCGACACACCTTAGTTCTAGTCCCTACCAGACGCAGGGACAAAATGAACGATTTAATGCGATCATTGCGATAATATCAAAAACCATAGAGCAATAATTGTTCTTTGTATAGATAAGAACCTCGATAGGTAAACAAACCATTTGAACATAGATAAAAGAAGAGTATGCATTTGAAGTTGTATCACAATATCGATATATTAGATACGATAGCCCTCTTTTGGGGTATTTGATTTTAAATCCTATCTTTAATATTTTTGTAGAAAACACATTGATAACTGAGTTGTAGCAATAATAAGGACACACAAATGATCTGTCAATGATGCTTAACTGAATGTTATGTAAATACTATAATTTTATTAACTAGGTGTACGTGCGACTTGGTTCGCATGGAATTTTTGAAAAAAAATTGAAGTTTTATGCTTTTTATAATTATAAATGATTTCATATATATATATATATATAATATAATACAACTTTTCAATCATGAGACTGCATGGGTCTACAGTGAATCTTTAGACACATAATTATGCAACCACTACTAAAAAACCCAAAGATTCTTAAACCCTAAACATATAATACATTTATAATACATAAATATATTTAAGATTATATAGAACATAGTATAACATCATTATATTTTAAGTATAAATTCATTTTTTACTATACAATATTAAGCAGGTTTGAGCATTATATGAGGTATAACTTTATGTCGAAATAAATAACTAATAATAAACTAATTGACAAAATATATTGTTATACAAAAAATAAAATTTTTAATTATTAGAACAACTTTCGGAGAGGCAGTGCTAATATATTATTTAGATACATCTTAATATTAAATAGACATATTAATTCTAAATATGGTTTGTGAATGGAACATTTTAAAATAGATTTAAAGGCACTTTGAATTTGGCTGCATAGATAAACAGATATTAGTATATATTTAATAAAATTTTGATTTTTTTAAATAAATAAAAAACTATTACATTAAAGATATCTTTAAAATTTTGAACACAAAGTAAACTTAAAGCTACTAAACTAAACGTACTATGACTCAAACATAAAATCTAATGAAAAATACCCTTAATGCAAATTACTAAAATCTTAATTATTGGAATCAATGACAAAAATGACGCACATTTGGATAAAACATTAATTTTTCGATTATATCGAAATAACGTCTACATGAAAATCTGTTTTTATTATAACGATGTATAGTCAGGCGTCATTTTCAAAACATATTCTTTAATAGCTGGCAATGAGTATCTTACAAATTTACATAAAAATAGAAAATTATATAATAACACATTTAATGAAAATTTTTATAACTTGCTGGCATAATAAATGATACAAAAATAATGTAATTTGATAGTAAAAATTTAGTTGAAAATTTGTAAAAATAACAAAGTTATTTTTCAAATTTCTTACGTCTTCGTATACATATATACATATACATATACGAATACATATATATATACAATGTATATATACATATATATATACATATATATACAATGTATATTATACATATGCATTTTAATATCATAATATGCAATAAATCTAAAAAAATATTCAAAACAAAAACTTTTGAGAACCACTGCTCCTCGCTTCAAAACACATCCAACCTGCTATTAGATTCAACAATTTCCATGTGTACTCACAATGTTATTGTATTGTTCTTCAAAAGGTCCTCTCCTAAACTACCTTGAGGTTGACAAAACTGATGTAATTCATGTCACAGTGGTCGAAAATGTGCTAAAGCCAGCAAGTTAGAATAATTTTTCGATAAGATCCGATGATTATCGATTAATTTAGTTATCGAAGTCTCGAATTGGATCAGCTGGCCTTGTCCATGCTGCCAACATGAAGGATTCGATGTCGCATTCGTTCGTTCCTCGGACAATTCGGAAGAAACCATCATCTCCCCAGTCTTTGCCCCAACTGTTGGCCACTGTCTGAAGAAGAAAAAATTGCCATATCATAACAAACATTTTTCATTATATCTGCGCCTATCCCATTGTCGAACATCATCAAATTTTTGGTAGAACCTAAAAATGTCTAAATCAGTGATCGGAAAATTGGGATAAATTACCCAACTAGTTGGTATTAGTATTTTGCCTCGAGGCAAGTTACATGAACTTCCCGATATGTGTAAATAGTGACTTAATTAATAAAAAATAAATGAATTTATGAGTGATTAAAAGTATTCCTAGCGGATTTATTACACATTATTGAAAACGAATGAACACGTTAACTCGGAGTATTTTCTAAAAGCAAATTTTCACAAATCAGTAATTTGTATAATTGAACCAGTTTCCGTAGGACTTTGATGGTTTAGTATGTTCATTACGACCAAGTACTCTATCGTTATACCAAATAAATCGTCTAATTTTAATTTTAACAAACGTTAAAAAACTATTCATTTTCTCAAACTTTGATGAATTTTTAAAATTAAACTACTTGTCGTAAGGCCGCAATATTTCAGTAAGTCCCATAAGACCATGATATATATCGCTAATCGCTTCCATAAAAATCGCCTTAAATTTTTTTCAAGAGTTAATTACAAGAAAACGGCTCGGTAGATTTTCACCTAAAACTAATCAGTACCATTCCCAACTAATCTTTTTCGAAGAGTTTTTCATTTTTTAAAATCGATTCGGTAGTATGAGCTTAAATGTGGACGAAAAGTTTAACACTTTTTTCAAATTACAAAGAAACGGATTGGCAGATCGTCGCACAAAACTGATAAACGATAGTCCTCATCGAGATACATCGAATGGTTTTTTCGAAATCGGTCAAGGCGTTTTTGAGAAAACGTCGATTTACGGCAAAAAAATCTGTTCACACATACATACACACACATACATTTTCCAAATTTGTTCTCATTCGAATCAGAATGGCTTAAAACGTCGAGAAATTATAAAATTAGCGAATCGGATTTTTTTTTAATACAAACTTCTCCTACGGGAAGTTAAAAAGACACGTTTGTATCAATAAACTCGGGTTGACGGTCATGTAAATAAATTAATAGACTATTAGAACTTATTTAAACTCGATTTGAATCTTTTCATATACCTTAAATAAAATACAAGGTAGATGAACAATGCCAAAATTATATCAACTAGTAATCAAGTATTTAATTTTAATACAACAGTAACATTTTTTAGATATTGAGCAAAATATAATCATTGCTGCCATTTAAAAGTAGTAAATTCGCCAGAAAAAAATTTTAATTCTTTTTAGATATTTTAAGTATATCAAAATATTTAGTAGTAGCTATAGTATTGTTGAAGAAAATTTTGAAACTATGTATTTTATTATCATATATTACAAATTAAAGAAAAGGTCTCTCCTCGTATCATGATGACTAAAGATAGTTCACTTCAGTTTCTTGCAACCTTTTAATCACAGATATTTTTAAACAATCATTTATTAATAGAATTGTTCTCCCGGCGGCGTGTTTACATTTTTTCTAACAAAACAAATACCATCAATGTCATCAATGTTAAGTAGATCATTTCTATAAATACTGTAATAATTAAGAAACAAAGTCCCAATTTTAATCAAGGTTGTCCTTCTTGTGTGGTCACTATAACCAAATAATAAGCCACTTAGCATACGCAATACATTCAGAATTTAAAAATAGAAGACGCAGGTCTTATTTTATGACCCGTTTATTGTATTGAATTCTCACCACGAACATTTTAGGTCAAGATGAAAATTTTTAATGGGCTTTGGGTATATATTTAGTCATAACATATGTTTGCATACTGCATTTTAAAGAAATACAAAGGATAATTTTAGGCAAGATTTTATTTTGAATAAATTTTGCGAAGAACATTCTATGCTTGAATTTGTGTAAAATCACAAAGATAATAAACCAGTTTTCACGAATCAAATAATTATAAGTTTGAGATTTCTTTCATCACATTCATTTTCTTACTTTTAATTCTTTGCTTTTTTGTCTTAAGGCTTTAATTGAGTTCAAGTAATATTAACAATATTAAAATCATGAGGCCAATTCTCGGATAAAATAGAAATGCTATTGAGACGATATGTTACGGGTCTATATTCGTATGAGTTGGTAGTTTGCTGGATCAGTCGTTATACACATAAACTAACCTGCTAAACGCATAATAATTATAAGTTTGAGATTTCTTTCATCACATTCATTTTCTTACTTTTAATTCTTTGCTTTTTTGTCTTAAGGCTTTAATTGAGTTCAAGTAATATTATCAATATTAAAATCATGAGGCCAATTCTCGGATAAAATAGAAATGCTATTGAGATGATATGTTACTGTATTCGTATGAGTTGGTAGTTTGCTGGATCAGTCGTTATACACACAAAATCTAACCTGCAAAACGCATAAACGTCACATAGCAATCCTAAAGGAAACTTTCTATACGTGAAGTTTAGGTTATGGTAAAACGCCTGATCTGAGCAGAATTAGAACTTTAAAAATTCTTGAACTATTTATAATTTTTAAAATAACTTACCCAGTATTTAACAGGTGGATAAGTAGATGTATCTTCGCCCCATCCGACGATCTTCACCGAATGGTAACGGAAATCGTGGGAACCAGAGTGAGAGGAATGCCTGTAGACACCACCAGCATAGGCGAAGAAGTCTCGGTAGACTTTCATGGTGGCTAGAAGAGAGAACATTCGATAAAATTCATAATAAAAATAGTAATACACTTTTTATTTTATTTTTTTAACAGCAGTCAGAGTCCTATAAGCGACTGTGCTAATTTGACATAATAATGTACTTCATACTGGTCAGTTTTACAGATGGCAACCGAAGCGATTGTCCTATCTCTGGGTAATGACTTATTATTACAATTTCTATATTAGGGCAAATATTTATTGATTCAGCAGTATCAGTCCAGTCGTTCTAGTCACTTACTTACGAGCTAACCCAATACATAAAAAATAATGATGACGTTAAATAAAGTTAAAGACAAAAACCCCAAAAACAATATTCAAGGTATTTCAACATCTTTGGAGACCTGAGCTGAATTGCTGAGTCCCTCTTTGGAGTGACAATGTTGTATGTTTAGAGGTGTGAGTGAATGAATAGAATTAAATAGATAGAATATTGTTTAATCAGAATGTTAAAGTTTTTTTCTTTTTTTATTAATTGCACCTATTTCATCCTGAACATCTACAAAGTTTTGGTCATTCTTAAAAAATGTCCAAATCATTACTGTTTCGCAACAGAAAGCGGGATGGAACCCGGGACCTCTGATTCAGGTCCAGAATTAGTGAATCACTTTTTGTAGTAACAACCATTAACTTACAACAATTTAGCTTAGTTAACAAGTGTGATATGGTAGACCAAAGTTGAAAATTAATAAATATCTTTCGATATTCTACAGAAACAATGTGTCCTATGTATTTTATCAATTATCATAAGTTGCCGTTATAAGTTATACAATATTGTCAATTACCTTGAACTGGTCCAGAGACCATCAGTTCATGCATGACATCCGTGTCATTGTGCAGACGGTATGCAGGGCCAACGGAATACAATTCAGTTCTTAACACTTTTTCTGGGATATCACATTGGGCAGTAAGCAAATTATCACCTCGGTGGACTCGGCATCCACGGTCACTTGCTTCGTATGGGTAGCATTTTTCATCAACGACTCTGGAAACAGATAAAAAATATAATAAATATAAATATACAAAATATAGAAATATAATTAAAAATAATAGGTCAAATCAGTCATTAAAGATCTTGTCGAGGAGCGACTAGGGCGGATGCTGAGCACGCCATTATGGAGTGCGAAAAATGGGAAAAGAGTAGGTACCAATTGCAGGCATTATATTTACTTAAACTCAAAAGTTGCTTGTAAGTTGATAAATTATAATACTATACCAAATAAAAAAAAATCCTTCTGAACTCTAATACAACATAATTCTTGTTTTGTACAAAAATCTTATTTTTAAATTTTAAATCCTGAACGTACGTTTCTCTTAAATAAGATTTTTGTACAAAACAACAATTATTTATATCAATAATTAACTTTTTATACAAAACACATACTACTGTTTATAAATCTATAATTCCCGATCACGTTTCATTTAACTATTTTGTAAAATGTATTATAATAATGGGTCAATATCTGGAGAACATATAGCATTAATTTATAAATAGATCTATATACTTCCAATAATAAATGTACAGTAGTTGCGGATATAAATCTAATGAGGTCAAAAATGTTGTTTAACACTTCTAACTTTAGTTTATTGTTAAATAACATTACAAATCGTACATTTGATTAGAAGCTATATTTGAACTAGCATAACCAGATCGAACTAATCATAGTAACATGTATTTCATTAGGTCTAAAAATAAAATATAATAAAACAATTACAGTTAATTATTTATTTTAACTGGACTCAAAAAATATATTCGCTCATGCCATGTGTTTTATCAACCTAGTGCTCTCAGATTTTGTTTGATATGGATCCACCAACAAATTTATTAGAGCATTGGTAACAATCATATTAACATTTAATTGGAAATATTGAGCTGATATTAATAGAGAATTAGAATAGTGCTACCATTTATTCAGTCATTTTCAATTAGATAAACCAAAACATTCTAGAATTTCAAAAGACAACGCTAATTAGTAGTAACCGTATAATTCTAACGATAGAAATATTTGGAGACAATTTTGTTTCCAAACCACAAAATGAGAAACCACAAAATTTGTAAATTTTCAAATAACCTTCATGAAAATATTACATAAAATCAATAAATCTAGTGATTCATTCGACTTACCCATTCTTCCTCAAATACTGCCAAACAACATCCAAATGACCACCTCTGCATCCTTTCTGATGCCTCTTATTACAGGCCAGAAGATTCTGGGCACTCAATCGAACAGTTTCTCTGCCTTTGGACAAAATTGCCAATCTGTCAGCAGCTACATTGACAGTGGAAACTGCCCAAGATGATCCACACCAGCCTTGGTCCACGACTGGACCGATGTAGTTACCAAAATGATCAATTGTGCTGAAAGATCTGGGCAGTGAATTTGGATCGTAGATCTTGCGAATAGGCTTCATACGCATTACTGATCTTTCGGGGAGTAAAGTTCCTGAAAGAAGGAAATGATACATTAATAATATAAAATGTAAGCAAGCAAAAATGAGAATTACCATATACAAAATTTTAGCATACTTATTTAAGAAGCGATATAATTTGAGAGCAGATCTATATTTGGATCCTTTTTATGTAATTTAAGATGATTACATGTTTCCAAGCACTCTTTATTGTTTCTTCTAGATTAGAATATATTTTTAAACTACCCTATATTATACTTTCTCCATAAAATTTATTAATTGCTTCTACTAAATATATGATAATAATATTAATTGATGACTTACATATTAAAAAAATAATAACAGCACATATATCGCGTATAAGAAAAAAGAAAAAGATAAATTTTATTTGGAAAATACTTAATCTATAAAATTATTTTTATAAGGTCAAACATTTTTGAAATATAAGTATGTACGTGAATTAATATATATAATAACAACAAATTATATGAATAAATACAAATATTTTTACGATTTAATCTCACGAAGAAATTAGTTTCAAATTTTATTTGAAAAGCACGTTATCTTTGTAAAAATAATTTTTTATTAAATAAATAAATATTTTTTTTTATTTAAATAATAATTTACTATTAAATTGTGTCGATACGTTAATATATATATTTTTTTAAAATTGAATATTATTTTAATTTTTATGATAATTAATAAAAGTAAGTAAAGTAAAAATTAAGTGAAGTAAAAAAAATAAATGAAATATAATTTTTGTCAGGTGTGGGGTTCGAACCCACGCTCCCAATTGGGAACCAGAGCTTAAATCTGGCGCCTTAGACCGCTCGGCCAACCTGACCATGTTTGAAGACCCCTACATTTTAAAAACTAAGTACCCCAACCTGACCACAGGTACAAAGAAGGTCCCTGAATATCGCATTCAGCCTTTCGACTATAATTTGAGCAATTACATCCTTAAGTTTATTACCTGTTCTGAGATTGAGGCCTTCTTCCAATTTGCGACCCCAGAATTTAGTATAATTGACACCAGTCCATCCTAAATGACGGCTGTCCATATTGATTCCATCGATCATGTTTTCATCAAGTAAACAAATGTGTTGTTCGCACATAAATTCGGCAATTGGTCCATTCACAGTACAAGTACTGAAAATAAATCGACACAATAAATTATTTTGCAAACATAAATTTTGTTAAATTTATTCTATTGGCATCGTTTCGATTAATTTCAGTATTTATTTATTATTATTCAGTTCCTTCGAATAATTAAAATTTATAGCACTAAAGTTTAATATTTCTGAACATAAATAGCCAGACATCTCAGTTGGTCATTAATCTACGAAAGGTAATTGCAGTTTCGCATTAAAATTGCCAAGTTTAACAGCATGCAAAAGACTATAAAACTAAAATATGTTTTTACAAGTTATTTTAGACCGTTATGGGTATGAAAAATTATTATACTTTTCAACATTATATATTATAATACGATAACTATTGATGTATTATATAAACCATATCATAAAAAAACACATCAATATTCAAATATCCAACCATACTCAAATCCTTGTTGAAAATGTTGAAGAAAACAGGTAAATCAAATTTCGAAGTATAAAATCATATCTCACAAATTCGCAAAATGTATAATAATTATTACAAATTATAAATATGCTTTTGCTGTTGCATATTGCGTTAAAACTTCACTTAACCCACAATCCTTATTTTATAATAATTAAAGACAAAATCGTCTCGAAATCATAAATAGCTGTTTAGAACTTTTCATAAATTTTGCCAGTATGGCAAGAATAGAATTAAATACCATATTTATTACCTAAATATCAATATATGAAAATCATACAGGCATATGGATATTTTAATTTTTTTTCTGTTATCATCAATATTATGTTTTTGAATTGCAATATATGAAAGTTTCTTAAAATTTTTAATCATATTAATATAAATTAGACAACCCTGCAATTGCTGCCAGGAACTTTCTTTATCTAAATTGTTGTAAATAAAGAAATGAAATAAGAGAAAGAAGAATGCAAACAAGTAAGAAAACTCATTGTCTGCAATGATGCTTTAAGAAAATTATAATTTACAATATAAAAAAAATAATTGTCAGGTGTGGGGTTCGAACCCACGCTCCCAATTGGGAACCAGAGCTTAAATCTGGCGCCTTAGACCGTTCGGCCAACCTGACCACATGTAAAGCCCTCTAGGTTTCAAAAACTGAGGACCCCTGCACTTTTTAAAAACTGATACATAAAACTTTTATTGGCATTCATCGAAACTCCCCTCGTTTTACAAAGGCATTTTATAGTACGAGTTGCAGAGTGTGACATGCATAAAAAATACATATATGAAGAAAATTGTATTTATAGTTATATATACGTTTTTTGTTCTTTGACCCAGAAAATAAAAAAATCATATTATTTGAAAAAATATTACAAGCTAAGGAGATTCCACATTCCACAGTATTGCTGGTTTTATAATTACTGCCGTAATATTGCGTTTGTTATATAAAGAAATCATAGTTCATGTTTTCCCTGCGCTGATGTAATCCATAATCAATAATCTCACATTTTGACTAGTTATTACCCATTAAATTTTATAGCCATCAATTTACTGTAATATTATAAATTGATTTCAATGGACATATAAATCATATTCATTGCAAGTAATAAAGTCAAATACTTTTTCTTGGTAATTCGTTGTAGATTTATGAAGACATTCTTCTTGGTAATTCGTTATAGAATGATGACGATAATGAGACAAATCAAAAATTTCTACTAATTTTGCACTAACATCAATAAATTTTCTACTTCATCACTTGTTTAATATATGAAATTAAGCAAAGAAATCTAATCCTACATTTTGGTTTGTTATTACCGCTTAATCTTATCGTCTTAAATTACTGTAATATTATTAAAGGTTGATCACAATGAATACATAAATTATATTTTATTGCAGGCAATAAAGATAATATAAGATTTCTGTCCAAATAAGATATGCTGTCATATAAAAAAATAATAAAAATTAATTACTTAAGAAAGTTAGAGACAGATGAGATTTTGATTTGCAGAATCTAAGTTAATGTACTGCTTCTGATACATCATCTGCAGTTCCTTAAAAGTACTCCTTAAAAATCATATTTGGTATGTATCTTCAGGATTAAAGAGAGTTGCACCTAAATTAATACGTGTATATTAGGGTGGTCCTTAATAAGAACATTTTTATCAATTTGGAACCATTTGAGCCCTTGGGAGCAAGGAAATTCAAAAATGTTCATATAAAGGACCACCCTAGTGTATATATATAGTAACTTCTTTCTTTAATTTTCCTTATGTATGCTTTACCTTAGCTTATTTTTCCAACACCAATTAATTTTTATAATTAAACTACATCTCATAGGACTCTAATATTTTAAAAGGTTTGTTTGGAATCTACTCTATCGCCATGGTAAGTTTCATCAAATTCCAAGACGAGTAAACCTAAGGTTCTCCTTGTGAGTTAAACTGAAATAGTAGAATTTCAGTGTGTAGGTTCTATTATATTCAATGAACTTTTGCAGACTTATTTTGGACATATACGTTAAAGTGAAACTCGAGATTACTTCAGGGTGGAGGCAAGTTATGAACCCGGAACCTTGTTGTTGCAACATCAGTTAGTAGGTACTCATCTTGGTGTTTGAAATTCCTTATATAGTGAACTATATGAAACGTCTTAGCATGCATCTCGTATTTATCCTTCTATTATATTATCTAAAGTGATGTAGTACCATATTTTAGTTCGTCCCTTAATCCTGTAATCTCATCGCAGCCAAATTACCATAATATTATAGACTGATTACAATGAGCGCATAAATCATCTCCCATTGCGTTGCAATAAGGTCTTATAAGGTTTGCGGCTAAATAAGATTTTCTGATTGAATTATTACGGTAATCCTCTATAACAAGTAATATATTACGGTATATACCACATACTGTTCGCAAGTAATGAAGCGAATCAGAACTCGTACAATGGCCAATGGCCATGATAGAAAATCATGAAGTCGGATCGAGAAATCCATACTTAAGGATGACGCTTTTTGAATTTTCAAGCAAGGTGAGATAATAATAAAAATGAACTATTTTAATCATCAAAGTTATAGTAATCGCAAAACATCAAAAATATTTTTTTTGCATATCTTTACGTTTCAAATGTTTCTGAACATTTTGGCATGCCTTAGAAAAAATTGATGTACGTGCGTGTGTGTGTATTAGAGATGGGTAACTCACTCCGGAGTTATCACTAGGATACAACTCCTCCCTCAGAGTGAATCCGAGTGGAGTTGTCTCACAGGATTGATCATATCCGACTTCCCTAAACTGGTACTAAATCGATTAAAATGTGCAGATATTCGCTTGAGATTTTTTACTAATTCAAATTTTTGGGTCAAAAGAAGTGGTCTTTTTCTTGTCTCACAGCCAGTTTTAGGACTTTCCAGGTATATAATGTCTCAAAATAATGCCATTTTGTATTCTATATTCTGTATGCGATAATGTTTGTTCGTAAATGAGCTTTTTCAATGGTAGACAACCCAGCTAAAAATATTTAGTATTATAACTTTTACACAATTATGATTTTATAATTGTGTAAAAGTAATAGTATGCTAATGAAACTACCTGATGTATAGTTAATTCTCGAAAAGGAAATAATAAAAGAATGTGAGGAATTATTTTGTGAAAAATATTATACACAAAGATTTGTTCTTATTCCATATATAAGGTTCACTGCATTATTTTCATATATAAAAATAAATATATTCAAAGAATTATATATTTTCTCTTCAAAAATAATTACAAAATTGATTTCGATTCCTAAGTTGTTTGTCAATTTGAGATTTGTATGCATATTGAAATTCATAAAATAGTAATTATTATAATAAAATGAACAAAAATATTTGAACTATTTGTAAACTATTACCAAAGTCTTAATAAATCCTTAGACATATTAACAATACACTAGAGAACACATTTGTCTTAGGTATTATGTTCCAAAGTTGTCGGAGTTGTGGAGTTGTTAAGTGGATATAACTCCTCTCTGAAGCGGAGTCAAATCCTAACCGACCCGGCTTCGGATATGTTAAGCCCATCTCTAGTTTGTATGTATGTTCGAATACAGTTTTTCTTCCACGATTTCGGGTGCATGGATCAAACGATTTGAATGATTCAAAAAACATTCGATTCCCACTGATGGGGAGACGCGCTGATTAGTTTTTAAACATTACTGCATATTATGAAACAAACCTTAACTCTATTTCTACCAGAGCTGAATGAGTTTTTCTTGCACATTTCTGGTATTGTTATTATATGGTAATATGTAGTATTTATTTAAAAAAATATTTTGTTAAAATATTTTCACAACCGCTCTGCATAATTTTCGCTGGTTCTGTAAGAGCTCACGAGCAAAGTCAACAGTTCCATATAACCATTTAAAACAATTATCTCATGCCTGACACTGAATATGAATTTGCATAATTCTTTATTTGCTGTTTCTGAATTTAAATTGAATTTGTGTTTAAGAAAGCGTCAAGCCAATTGTGCGATTTTGTATGGCCGAGATCTCGTATTGCATTCTGGAGCAATTGTATTTTTAGCCATCAATTAGCAACTCTGTACATGTCGAATGCATTTCGACCAATGTTTAAAATATTCGTATAAGTAACACATAAAATGACGTAAAATGCTTTATCGATGTTCTCAAAATAGTTATTTTGCTGCTTTATTTATTTATTTGTCAAAAATGTTTTGACAGGCTGTCCGAATTTTGGCAAGGTTGCGGTGTAGACACAAAAGTTGAAAGAAGTCGTTAAATGCAAATTTACAAGTACGTACAATAAATACATAAAAAACGAGGTACGAAATATACTTTGAGTACATTTTGCAGCCTTAAAATATTTTAAGAAGGTGTAAAAGAAATTTTAACGATTGTAAGTAAAACATCGTAAAGTTTTAAATGCCGTTTTGTTATGAAGAATTTTTAGATGCTGCTCAATTCTAAAATAATATTTAAGTCACTGTTCGTTTAATGTAACAAAATGATTTTATATCGCTCAAGGAATATACATAGATTTAATACCTCCACTTTATAGAACTTGTTAAACTTTAAATCACCTATGGGCACCAACAATTTTCGAGTAAATGATGTTTACTAACTTTAGAATTTATCTAGACAACTTTAGATTTTAACACCAAATCTCTGAACAAAATTGCTTTACTATATAAAAAAAGCTTTCATATTTTCAATATTAGAAACCACATTGGTTATTTTTAATACCCCTTAACTAAACCTGATAGTAGTTATTCTACTTAATCAAAGGCAAAGTTCAAAAAAGCTGTCGAATAGATTTTAAAAAATCTTAGTCACATCTTTGTTTTCAAACAGAAATAATAAATTATTATTGGGTAGTACTGTCCTATGGCAGGTCCATGAGCTGAGGTAAAATCCACCTCGATTCAGGAAAAAATAGTGTAAGAGAGTACCTATTGCCATTTCACACCGCAGTGCCCAAATTGGGATATTTTCAATTGGAAACATATTTTTGATCTTGAAAATGGACATTGCCACTCCACGATATCAGGTTGTCCAGAGCGTGGGTTCAAGAATGAAAATCAAAACAAAGATTATTATTGGGTACTTCTGCCCTAGGGCAGGTCCATGATCTGAGTTAAACTAGAAATCAATTCAGGAAAAAATAGTGTGAGAGATTTCCTACTGCTATGTCACACCGCAGTGCCCAAAATGGGATATTTTCAATTGGAAACACATTTTTGATCTTGAAAATGGACATAGACACTCCACGATATCAGATGATAAATATAAAATAAAAATTTGAAGAATGATAATCCAAACAAAGTTGAATTTAGACAGCTTGTATAGTTAGATCTCTCATCATACAAATCGTAAGGAATTCTTCAAGCTTCTTGAAAATATGTAAAGAATTCTTCAAGCTTTGTGTGCTATTTTGATTTATACTGATTTCATTTTATATAATTATATATAAATAACTAAACCTGCCTACCTAAAAATTTAACTAATATTTCATTTTGTCAATACTAAATAATTCAAAAATGGTTTTTGAATCATTCAAATCGGACGCTCCGTTAGCCCAAAAACTGAATGACCAATTAATGCACTTTTTCAAACATCTTCATCAAAAACCGATCAGCACGTTTCCCCATCTGTAGAAATCGAATGTTTTTCGAATCATTCAAATCGATTAATCCATGCAGCCGAAATCGTGGAGGAAAATTTGTATACAAACATAAACACACATACATACATCAATTTTTTCTAAGGTATGCCAAAATGTTCAGAAACCTTTGAAACGTAAAGATATGCAAAAATTCTCAACTTTAGTTAATAAGAAATATTTTAGATTAAAATAATTCGTAATATTTCATAATGATTAAATTTGATTGATGTGAGACCTTTCCTTCTTGATATATGTTAACAATAATAGATGTATACCCATAATACAAATAAAGACCAATGCATAATTGTAAAAAACTTCAAAATCTGTATGCAGAAGTTTGCACAACTATCAGACAAATATTCGTAGGTCAAATTTTTATATATCCAATATTTATTCACAATTAATAATTAAATCAATAATATTATTACAAAATCAACTCACCATTTATTACAGTTATCCTGGTATGATGTACCAGAAAAATATTCTCTACCATTGGCATGGCAAGATAATTGGGTGATTGGTGATGGTTCGTTTTTGCAGAACGACCAGAAATCAGGACAGCAGTCTTCTGCTCTCGTCCTATTGCAAAAGTCATCGCAATAGCATAATGTACCTATAAATAAAAATCACAGGTAAGTGAAAACAAAATGAATAGAAGAAATTAAACATATTTGTTGAAATCCAAACATTATTCAGACAACCTCTCCATAAAATCTTTACCGCTACAGATTTGATTAATCATTTACCATAAAACCAGCAAATCCATGGTCATCCGCAGTCAAAATTTCAAACAAATTAGCGAAACCAATATCATAAACTTCTATCCGACATCATTATATCAGGCACTTCATTAACGAATAATAATTAATACCATTTGGGAACCGGAATTCCTCATTAATAGCCATTTAACATCTTCAGGTTTCCGTCAATGCAGTTACGCAACCTCTACTAGTCTGGTTCGGTCAAAAATACATCAATGACGTAACAATTTTTAATAAATTTATCGATTCGAATAATTGTATCGATTGAAAATTGATATATGTGCGTCATTATTTATTGGACTATGTATCAATTATCGCCAGGCGCAAGCTACAATCGAAATAGAATTATTTATGTATATTTTATAAGTCCGCATTCGAAATATGTGCCATGAACATAATAAGTAGGTTTAGTAATATCTTTATTTTTGAATTAGGATATTCAAATATGTTCTGTGTTATTAAACATGATTTATGCCAAAATTAAAATTAGGTTGTGATGAATATTTGATCAAGAATTTGAAGCTATAACTAGGAAATAAAAAGCTTTGCTGAAGATATTTTCGTGTGCAAAATATAAATAAGCCATTGTAGATATCTGCATACCACAATTTAGCTACTTACTTAAGATAGTACTCTGATCTAGAATTTATAACAAAAGGATTTTGTTTTGTTTTTACATTTTCAAAAATAACAAATGAAGAAGTCCTGAGGAGAGTAGGCGAAGAAAGGATTTTACTGATAAGAAAAGAAAACTGGATCGGACTCGTTTTTCAAAGCAAGTACCTCCTATACAACGTCGTAGAGGGTAAAATAGAAGGATTCAAAGGAATGGGAAGAAGAAGAATGCAGATGTTTTGACAAATTTGGAGAGAAAATACAGAGAACTGAAAGCCGAAGCTCAGGATCAGGAAGCATGGAAGCAAAAGTTTTGAAAGAAAACTTGTATTTATGTTACTTAGTTATGAAATTTATTAAAACTCTCCATCGATAACTCAGGTTGTTGGTTTATAATTGAATCCTTGTAGCTGTAGACTGTATTAAACACTGATTTGTTTGTATATTATGTATTTGTTGCAGTTCTTATTACAATCACTGATTTGTCACTAAGTTGTAATGAAAGAAGATATATTTATTTATTATTTATTATACATATTATATCGCGGACTTTACTTTTAGAAAGAAACAATTAGCTCCATTAAAACATTCCGCTTCCACCTCTACCAGGGGTAGCATTAGCAACCATTCCGTGTAAAGCTCAATGCCATGAAGATTGTCACCTTCATGGCCAATATAATAAAACGAAAATGCGTCCAAACAAAAATACATTTAAAAAAATTGTAATGGGGGAAGGGAGATATTGGTAATGGGAATGATAGACGACGAAGTGTAAGGAAATCCTTTTCTTGTGGTGGCTCTCGCACTATGAACCTGCCTTCGGGTAGTCTACCACTTATTATTATTATATTTTGAAAGTTTAACTATTCAATAATATATGTATAAGAGGATTTTTCAAAATTTTGGTTAGACCAAAATGTCTTTTTCGACACCACGATATCTCAACTTCTACTGAATTGGTATACTTAAAAATTTTATAGAGTGTTCTTTATAGATTTTTGTCCAGAATAAACTACTATGATCGCCAAATTCCGATTTTTACTATTTAAAAAAAAGGGGAACATCAAACATGTTTTTTCTTCAGACACATAATTTGTCAAAAAAAAAAAACTAGTCTGTAGTTCATATGATTGCGTTATCATTTTAGATCAATAATAAATATATACGATACAAATATAAACCATAAATACATACCATGAGTATGATCAGGCAAAAACAAACTTCTCCTTCGGGAAGTGAAAAATCAGTTACAATTACAAATTCAATGCTTATATACCCTCAAAATTATTTTTATTTCTCATTGTGTAAAAAAAAGATTGTAATTAATAAAAAGAAAAAAAAATACAAACTCGAAACCAAAATTTTAATAAAACGCCAGTTATACTAACATAAAAAACTATCTTCGTAGGCTCAAGAGAAAATCGCCACTTGATTTAAGTCCTCAATTTTCCTGATGAAGATTGAAATAACTTAATTATAACTATCTTCTTATAAATAATAACTAAGTTTTATTAAAATATTGTTAATATTAATTATAAGTGGAAAAACAACTGTTGAGTTTCACTATAGTATACAATGTCCCTATTACAGCTTACAATTGCAAATAAAAAAATTCACTAAATGTCGTTAACTGGGCACACAACAAAAAAATTGATGAACTGATTAATAGTTGATTAATAATTCCTTAAAAGAAGTTCAAAACTGCAAAAACACTGATCTTCATTTTCATGAAAACAATTAATTAGTGTTTGATCTGATCTGAGTTTGTTAACCTTACCAATAAAGAAAATGCAGGTGACAAATTCACCTTATATTATCTCTTCAGAGAACCCAGGAAAATTTTCGTAAATTGCAAAACGTTACGTGTGCAAATGTTTCGCGATAAACCCACTCAATGTTGTTAAATTGCAAATCTAAGCCTGGCATTTTAAACAAACTATAAAACTAAAACTAAAGAATTTTAAAGTCATTCATTCTTTGAACTGATTCATGGTTCTAACTTTAACTTTGACATATTTGCCGACAGCGACAGCGTTGGCGATTGCTCGCATATTTTTCGCATTAGGAAAACAATATTGAGAACCAGATCGAATGCAGTATTACATAAAATAACATTGAAATTGTATTATGATTTTTGTTGTTTGCATTTCGAAAGGTATGACTTAATCTTCGTATCGAGCGATGATGTTATTTCAAGTTATGACGTCGATTCTGTTGATTTAAGTGACGCCGATCATTCCGCGTGCATTCTTGTCTTGTGCTGATTATTTAGATAACAGAAACCAACTGGAAATAATTGATTTAGTTTGATTTACGATTTGTAATTATCCGAGATTTTGGCAAGATGCGGTAAAATAATACAATTTCAAGTTGTTTTGCACTACAGCCGTCCTGTCCTCCAGGGTAGCATCCTGAATATCTGGACGCAACAGTATGATCCAACAAAAACCCCTATGTTTGAACTCTCTTAGAAAACTTGTGACAAAAATCAATATCAAATTATTATCTATTTACCTATGATTGGAGCACTACAGTCGTCCTGTCGTCCAGGGCAGCATCCAGAATACCTGGACGCACAATATGGTCCAGCAGGAAGACCAATATAGTCTCTGACAGCCAGAGATAAAGATACTTGCAGCAGAACCACTGCCAGCAGCAGTCCTACTTTCGTCAACATCTGGAAAAAAACAATAATATTAAATAAAAAAATTTAAAGATCACTTGTCCATAATATCTAATATTAGGGACTATCTAATATTAATAATATAGTCAAATTTTAGAGTACAATTTTTTTTTGGTCAATTAAAACTGCAACAGTCTTATGATACAAAACATTGAGAAGATGGGAGTTTTTAAAATAAATTAAATAAATAAAATTATTATTAAACGCAAATAGTAAATTTGATATAAATAAATATATTTTTGTTCAATTTATTTTTTCTGGCTATTTTCTTATTTTTTATTGAGAGTTTTGGAGGTCAATAAAAAACTCAACTTTGTATTCTTTAAAAACACTGATTGCATTATGCGCAAATATTCAGTAATATTGATTTAAGATTGAACAAACATTTTTTTAAGATTTATCCGGTATTTGCTAATGCTTGAAAAAATAAATGTATATAATGACAGAGGTTATATTATGTCTAGACAGCTTTTATGAGGAAAAAAAATATGCAAAAAATTCTTTGTTTAAAAGACAATATGAGGTATATAAAAATCATCAGATAAATAAATATAATTAATAGAAAAATAATGAATGTGTATGTATATTAATTTAATATAATATGGATAAAAATTAAAGTGGAAAAGCTATATTCCAGTAGAAAAAAATTAAAACAATCTATTAGAAACAAAATTATGATCAGTAGTTTAGTCAAAGGTATGAAATATAATGTAGAATCAATTGAAAAACTGAATACATCGGTACTTGGTAATAAAAAAAAACAGAAAAAAAATTCACATTGGTGAAAGCTCCCAATTTATATACAAGAGGGTTAATCAACATATATGTATATATATATATATATATATATATATATAAGTCTAGAAACCCAAATCAATTCAAAACTATGCTTTCAGAACATATGATTAACTTGAACCACACTATTAACATGTCAAATCCTTCCATCCTATTATTTTTCTTGAGAACGTTTGAAAATAAATTAATTAGTCGAATGCATCCAAATACTTTCTTTTATCAGTCATATTCTATTTTTAACTTTTTCATACAAATAAGAACATTATATTGTAAGAGTTTACTAGGTTATCGCCAAAGTGATTAATATTCGCGTTTCTTAAGATGTAGGCCACTGTAGTTTTTCACGTTTAGCTAATTAATTAATGAAAAAATACACCGAATATATTCGACATAGTTATATGTTTGTTAGTTTTAATTAATTATTAATTACTTGGAATTTTAAATTATTTTTAGTCATAACTTCTATATCACTTGAACGGCCAAAAAAATAAACAAATATTTCTTATGATTATTATTTAAGAAACAAATTCAATAGTATTTGGTTAACAAATATTATAATTTATTTAAACTTGAGATTTGAAGATTTTAAACAAATAATTTTTGTTAGATAATAGCAACTCTGAGGAAGTATACATATAAACAAAAAAAATAATTTGATAATGAGATACAAAAAGATTTCTTGAAACTTTAAAGTATAAGTTTACCTTACACATTGACGTACAATATTTCTGCATAAATTATAAGATATGTTTTTTGAACTGAAAAGTCGTAAAAAAACGGAATAAAATATACAATTGAAGTGTTTTAGTAACAAATATTTTTTTATAAATTATTATAAATGATTCTTAATAGCACTGGACCATTTTTTCGATTATCAGACAAGGATGAAAAAATCTTTTAATTTCGTCTTTAGCAGATTAAAGTAAATAAGGCAAGTCTAATTTAACTATTTATTTAATAAGAACTATTACTTTAATATTAGTTATTTTAATGGTGATATAAAGTTATTTTATATAAATAAAAATTTTAGCATACTTTTATTCATTTATACATAGATTGTAAAGTATTGCTGCACCACCTCTATAGTAAAACATCCAAATTTAATAATTAAACAAATTGCATAGAAATAATATTTCTAAAATCTTAAAAACTCTGTATTTGATTTTGGTACAACTAAAATAAAAGTGTCTTAGTTAGTAAAACAAATAATTGAAAAAAAATATTTCTCTATTATTTAAATTTTACATACAAAACCCTTTTACTATTATATAAAACTTGCAAGTCATATATCCAACATGCAATGATGTAATAACATTTGTTACGGTAATTAAACCCAAAAATTTGATCCAAAAAAATCGTAGTAGAGCATGAGTCATTCAAAAAAATATATATAAATGTAATAAAAATAAAACACATTTACTATATTATAATTATGTTACAAGCCCAGAGATAAACAGTAACATAATATTGGTAGAAGAAAAACTATCGAAAAAACTAGCTGCTGGAATCATTATTAGAGGATCCATAAAGAACATCTGAGTTTTAAATAAATATTCAAACAAAATTGATATAAAGGATAATATTGTAATTAGGAATACACTAACACCGTACTTTAACTTGTTTTTATGATTGTTTATCATCCACATGGACTTAGTCCTGAACAGAGTCCAAGTTTCTGATCCTTATAAAGTTATGCTTAAATTCACCGATCTATACTGAACTTTTGGAAGTAGGTATATTTACTTTATCTTTCAGTACTATTATGGATCTCAGGCAACTAAAAAACAGAACTTTTTCAAGGATTCCCCATTTCATTTTTCAGGAAAATGAATAGATTATAAGGAAAAACAAAGTGATCATCATAATATAACATCATTGCAGAAGCAATTTACAACTTTCTCCCAGGCTCGCTGTTAAAAATTTCGCGAACTTCAAATAGTTTAAATATTTCAACTAACTAAAAATTAGAATACCCAAAAGAAAGCCCCGAACAAAATCTGTGTCATCGATCCTTTACCATTATCACTAAAAGTCCATCTTTCCTATTGTTCCTTTGAAGTAACGTTTCGCTAATACATGTAATTTTACATCATAGAAACGTTACATAAGGCGTTACTTAAAAATAATGACACATTTGTATTCATATCACATGCTCTCTTTGTAATCATTCAGTTTCTTTGTGGGACATTAAAAACACTTCAAATTCCATTGAGTAGAAAACTTTACGACCATTTCGTCAATGGAAAATTAAAATTAACGCGTCGATCGGAATTTTGTCGATTTCTGTGTTATACATGTCAAAATTATGTTTCTTTCGAGACGACTTGAATTTTGATGGATGATGTGATGGATTTTAATGGGATCAATGCTCGTCCTTGGGTAAATAATTCATAAATATTTAATACTATCGTCAAACTAAATAAATCACTTATTTAAATATCATT